ATGATGAGGGATGTTGCAAAAACAATATTTGTTTAGGCGTTGTTTAACATAATTAACATAAATTGTTATATGATGTATTTATTTTTACTTAAATGCCATCTTGTACAGCAGCAAATAAGTTTTACTTCAATCGCGTGTGAACCTTACGCTCACTCTTTTTTTTTGCTGATTATAGTTTCTATTTTAAAAAATTTGCTTCAACATTTGATCAAAAACTTCATACATCCTAAATCCTTTATCACATATCTCAATATATAAGATTGCACACTCTTGTTTGTATTTTTTCTATTAACAAAGAATTTTTTAATTGCAGGGACGAACAACCTTTTTCATAGGCCAATATTTGTGAATAATATGGCCTTAGTATTCGAAAGGCAATGATGTCGGCGATAGGCGTAGCGGCGCTAGTTACAGCGCTTTTGCTATGCCAGGCATCTTGTTCACAACATTATGGTAAGAAGTAATCATATTCTAAATATAATATGAAAACAGAAATTATTTTAAAAAAAATAATATATCTTCTTATTATAGTCCGTATTTACAACTTATCTTAATGAATTAAGTAGTTTATGTAATTTATCTTTGTATGGCAAAAGCTATCTTTTTTTGAATTCTGTTGCCCATCAATATTATGTTTTAGAGAACCTTCCTGACCACAACTATATATATATATATATATATATATATATATATATATATATATATATATATATATATATATATATATATATATATATATATATATATATATATGTTTTATTATTTTATAATGTTAAATGCACAAGTTTTTCAAAAGTATAATTTTTCATAATCGTAAGAAGAAATTCGATTTTGGAGTTCAACCTCGCTCTATATTATTAAATGAAAAAAATTTAGACATAAAACATTTTTTAAGTTCCCGTAGGGCAAGTTTTAGTAATCGTAAAAAATAGAAAATGAAAATATTCATATACTTTTACGTTTCAGAGGTTTCTGAACATTTTGGCATACCTTAAAAAAATGGATGTATGTGTGTGCGTGTGTTTGTGTGTGCGTATACAAATTTTCGTCGACGATTTCGGGAACACTGATCAACCGATTTGAGTAATTCAAAAATCATTTGACTCGTATTGATAAGGAGACGTGCTGATTAGTTTTCGGCATAGGCAGGTCTAGCCGTTTTGAAGATACGGGGCAAAAAGTGCCAAAAACGGTAACTCAGTTTTTAAGAGAACGGAGCGTCCGATTTTAATAATTCAAAAAACATTTTACTTGTATTGACAAGATGAAGATGATTAAATTTTTGGGAAGGTAGGTCTAGCTGTTTCGGAGATCTAGTAAAAAAGTAAAAAAATGCCATTTTGAGGTCAAAAATGATCATTAGACATATGCACATCAAATTATCAGATATTTTATGGAGATTTTAATAATGTGAATCAATTTTGTTTATATTTCTATGGGTTTTGTAACATAGTTTGTCTGTTAGACGACGACGCGGCGCTTACGCGCATCGATATTGCGTCTCTATATGGTCTCTATACAGCTAAAGCAGTGCGATTGCTTTGAAAAAAAAGTTCAAAATTTTCAAAATATTTCAATCAAAAAAAAAACTTTGTTTTCCAAAAGTAGTTTCCAAAAAAGTAAATTTTTTTCCAAAATTTAAAATTTCTCAAAAATCTAATTTGTTTAAAGTTTAAAACATATTTAATCTTTTTTTAAAATTTAATTTTTGGTACGAAAAGTACCAGCAATTTGCCTTAAGGCACGATGCCATACACCACTCGTTATATTCATTATTATACAAACGATTAAGGTAATTGACTGAACTTTGCCAGTTATAAAAACAAATTTAACATAAATAAAAATGAATCGAAAGTAAAAAAAAAATATATAGGATTTTCCCCATGAGACATTTGTTATTTTTTATATACAGTTTCTCGTTCAATCTTCAAGACGAAATATCAAGCAAATTAACTATTATTGAGCTAGTGATATTTAAAACTACAACCAGTACAAATTTTGCAATAATTTTACGTTCACTGACCCCGTATAACATCTATTGGAACTAAAAAAGACGTAAAAAACATCTGTCAATAATGAATGTTTACTTCTTAGGCGCCTTGAACGATTGCATCGCAACCTCAGACAAGCCATTCTTGCGGGTCAAACGCACTACTCTGGGACTCTTCATATTATCTATATTAGAAATATTAATATAATATAACGTAAATGGTTTTTTTATCTTAACATTTTGTTCAGATAATTAACACACCCATTATATATGTATATATATACTTTTCTTATCTATGAACACACTTGTTCAATACCACTTACACAATAATTATACTATAAATTTTTATTTTAGAAAATATGATGAATGTAATATGCAAATGAGTTTTTTAATTTTTTTAATTAAAATTAATTAATATATAACTCAAGCTGCTATGTAAATAAAAAAACATAGCATATAGATAATTAGTAGATTTTAAAATTGAAAAACCAGTGAAATTATTAATATTTTTGACGTCAAATGAAAATTATCAAAAATTAAGATTAATGCTGTTTCCGAGTTTGCTTAACTCGACCTGCTTTGTAAATAAAAAACATATCATATAGATAATTAGTAGATTTTAAAATTGAAAAGCCAGTGAAATTATTAATATTTTTGGCATCAAATAAAAATTATCAAAATTTATTAAGATTAATGCAGTTTCCGAAGCTTTTTGGCATTGGAAAACTGCAACCCGGGACGACACATTCGCGCAGGTCAAACGCATATTTTGGGACTCGTATGAATTTTTGGGACTCTCTATATTAAATTTATGATCCAAGGTTACAATCTACCTCAAGTTTATTTATTCTATATCAGATAATTAACATATTATCCTGTACAATTCACATAATTATTGCCTTCAATTATTCGTTAATTGACAAGTGTGAAATTTCATACAAAACCGTTAAATAACTTCACAGTTTGCTTTAAAAATAGAATCTCTGAAAGGAGTTTTGTTTCACTTCCTAACTACTTGTTAATTAAACTCTTATGCATTGAAAATAACATTATTTTATTACTCATTATAATCACACTTCGAATACTATTCGGGAACTAATTACATTTGCATTTTTATATAATACATTAGATAATATTTTTACTTTAGCTAATTAGCTAAATCATTCTATGCATTTAGATTTCTTTCGTTTATTTATATTTTGGGTGAAACGATGCTCTATAATAGATTTGTAATATAGTTCACAAGTACAAAATTGCTCCAATTAACACCATCTCGCATATTGTGACAATTTTTATCATATTTACACAAATGATACAACTAATGGACCTATTTGAAAACACCTGTTGAGCAAAATCAATATTTACACGCCAAAATGTTAGCTTTTATATCACTGATAACAACTCAAATGTATAAGAATTTCTTTAATAAAAAATATAATGCGTGCTTATAATATTAATTGTGTTCATACTATCAACTGATAAAATTTCTGATAACTTATATTTAGCTGCAGAATGACTAATTTAAGAGAGACTCGATTTATATTAATATCTTGAACAGTTAATATATATGTCCTTCAAGTACTTATAGCTCGTCTTTTAATTTGTAATTAAGTACTATCTACAATCTTCAAATATAACGAAAAAAAGAAATGCATAATAAATTTTATCGACTTGGACTTAAATGATAAGATAATTCATTTTTATGGCACTGTGACTAAGATGTAAAACATTTTGTTTTTGTTCCGCTGCACCAATTAAAAATAGAAGTAAACAATATTGATATCATCAATAATAATTGATTAAAAGTTCATATTTAATTTCCATTAACTTATAAATAAATAATGTTAGTCACAAGATTTTCTATTAATTTTATACTTTTTATTAATTTTTTTCGGATTTAGTATTATTGTCATTATTATTGTATAGTGTTAAAAATAAAATTAAGACTAGTGGGGTATATGGCATCGTGCCTTAAGGCAAATTGCTGGAACTTCCCGTACCGTAAAGAAATGTTCGAAGAATAGTGAATGTTGTTTTCTCATAGATTATTATAAATATTGTCTAATATTTTTTTTATAAAAAAATTATATTTTTTTGAAAAAAAAAAAATTGAAACATTTTTTTTTTCAAAATCAATTATTTTGTTAAAACAAGCAGAAAGTTCTTTGAATCAGTTAAATCGGACGCTTAGTTCTCTCAAAAACTGCCATTTTTTGCACATTTAGCTCTGTATCTTCGAAATGGCTGGGCCTGCTTTTGCCGAAAACTAATAACCTCTTCTCCCAATCATTACTAATTGAATGTTTTTTAGATCATTCAAATCGGATGCTCCGTGTTCTCAAAAACTCGATTTTTATTTGTTGCACTATTTGCTCTTTATCTCCGTAACTGCTGAGCCTGCCTTTGCCAAAAACTAATCAGCACATCTCCCTATCAATAGAAATCGGATGTTTTTGGACCATTCAAATCGGTTGATCCGTGCGCCCGAAAACGTGACCGAAAAATTGTATCCATACATACATACACACACGCATCCATTTTTTCTGACGAGATATGCCAAAATGTTCAGAAACCTTCAAAACGTCGAGAAATGCTAAAATTTTCAATTGCGATTTTTGGACGATTTTAATAACTTACTTTACCATACGGGAAGTTAAAAATAAATTTCTTATATATAAAATATGAATGTTTTTTCATTATTAAATTGAGTTAATGGAAAATAAACTTGTCATCGTCGGATCTAATTCGAAGCAATTATATTCAGCCATTTTAGTAGATGACATGATAGGTTTAATATGATTTTATTGGCCCAAGTAGTTGACCTGGAGAAGTTTAGACGCTAAGGTACAATGTCGATAGGTCAATTCATAGTTATTGGTTTTCATAAGCGAAAATTACAGTGAGAATTAGAATTTTTATTCGAAAATTATTAGTAGAATTCAATAGTTATATATTTATGTGTGAAATGGTGAAATATTTACAAGTTTATCTTATTATCTTTTTTTTTCAGATTCTTTATGTGCAGGTACGAGAGAGCGATATTTATCAGCTGTTGGAGAAGAGTCTTCCATAGTTTTACCTTTATCACCCATCCAAAATATTCAAGGTGTTTCTACGAGTCAATCTGGACCATGCAGAGCCAGAATCACAGCACCAGACTCTCATGCCATAGGTAGTAATATTATTACTATTTTTCTTAATACTCTTATTTTTCATTCGAAAACTCTTATGATGTAAGTTAAGTAAATTAATGATGCATCAAGTTTAATATCGAATCCATGGTTAATTTATATGTCTTTCTCAGGCCTGCGTCTGGTGGGTACGAAGACTGATACAATGGTACAAAAACCAGGTTCACTTGGAAAGTCGTCTAGGAATCATCATGGTTCACACCAAAAAGGTGGTAATGGAACTTTGTTAGGATGTCCACTGAGTGTGGTAGGTTATTTAAAATAGAATACAATAAATTCATATTTACTATAGATTATTGTCAAACAATCATGCTTTATGTTATGACGAATTAATTTATTTTTAGTATCTTCCCGAAGATCGCCAATCACCAGTATGGCGCTTTGATCCATGCCTCGGGGGAGCGCAATCAGGGGCTTCCAAACTTCTGCCTGATAGGGTTAGCATAGCTTGGAGCCCCCCTGAAGATGGAAGTCCTGTTCCTTTAGCTTTAGTAGCCACAGCTGTTGGAAACGAAGAACGACTTTGCCGCGAGAAAGGGAGACACGTTTGTGTTCATATTGGGTAAGACTTCTTCATTTGTCCTGATACCGTTTTCGAACTATTTGTTTATTGTGTATATTAAATTATAAATAATATTTTTTTTTCTAGGCGTAAACCTTTACTTTGCATTTCGGATCATTTAGTGTGTGACGGAATAAAACATTGTCCATTAGGAAATGAAGGCGATGGTGATGAAGATCCTAGACTATGTGAAAGATCAGAGAAACCGGTACATAAATATTTCAATATTCAATCTTACCTAATATTATTTTAATTATCCGATAATTAGAATTAAATTATTTTTTGTTTCAGAGACAAAATACGTGGGACATGATAACATTAGCAATTTTAAGACGATTAGCAAGCGCTCGACCAGCCCCGATTGAACATGTACCTCCTAAAGATTTTGCAGTGCCGTCCAAAACAGAGAAAGAAAGCAATGAAGCCAGTGGCGTCGATAAAACTGTAAAAGAATACCAAATATTTTCCGGTCTCTCGCAGTATGGTCCTTGGGGCTTTTTGTTAATAGGCGTTTTAATTTGCGGGGTCATGCTACTGATTTGCGGACTTTGGGGTATGTATTAGACTTATAATTTAATTAAGTATAATATAATTTCTTTTAGTATCAGCATAAAGTAAATATATAAAATTATCAATTACAGAGTGTTACTGCCGTCGACCTCAACAGCCTAGTCCGCCTCTGGTAGATCCTTGTGCCTCAATCTCTCCTGATAATCATGTGGTAGCAAGTAATTTAGAAAATATTAGTCCGCCTCTCTATGATGAATTGGACACTCCACCAGCTTATAATATCTTATTTCCGCCGGAACAAAAAAGTATACCTGTAGCAACAACCAGTGACCAGGGAACGAGTTCTGGTAATATTCCAGTGTAAATGAAGATTACTATTAGTTTTTATTTTGTTTTAATGTGTATCACAAAAAAACGAGTTTATGGATCTTAAGTCTTATTAATTGCTGAACTAAATGAATGAGATGCCCTCCTGGTGCATCTCAGTGAATGTGAAGATGATGAACTTTAAATAATTGACGCTTTGACTTAGGTTTCAGGAACTTGCTTAAACTGTGATTTCTTCTATACTTATTCAAGGAAGTTTAAAACTTATCTTTGAAAACAAACAAGTTAATTTAGCATTATTATTTAGAAATTTGAATATATATTTTATGAATTATGGCATGCTTCCAATATTCCGATTATATTAGAAGGATGCAAACCATAATTAATATTGTTATTTTTGCAGGACTATGATATAACTTAATATCATTTTTTTTTAACTAAAAGGGATCTCAAGAGCCTTTTAGAGCTTTTGCCCGTACACTAAGTATAATCATATAAACATTAAATAATTTATTTATACATTAACTAATATATTAAATGATTATCATTTAACCTGACTGCATATCAACAAATTTAGTGTTAGTATTCGAAGTATTTTATTGCAAACCAAATATATATTTCAATTTCTAGCTTTCCTTTTATAAGTTTTGATAGTTTGACATGCTTACTTTGCTTAAGTCAATAGTAAACATTTGTCACCATACTATCTTTAATTTTCAAAGAAATGAAACAATGCAAAAATATAAAATACGCCAATTATTTAAATGTTGAGAATTATTATTTTATTTCTATTTCTATAGTTATTGTCACAATCAGTATTTATCTTATAGACCATAACTAAAATAAGTGATTTATGTAAATATTGTAATAGAAGATGTGTAAATGGTTAGAGATATTGGGAATGAATTTGAGTCACTATATGAGAAACGTTTTTAATTATTTTATGTCTCCTTATTTTTATTATTTTTGATAACATTTGAAGATTTAGCAAAAAATATTGTAAATGATGTGTTATGAGACTGTAGTTACAAATGTTTGAATGATATAAGAAAATATGAACTATTTTTTATATTCTAGACTATATTATAATTGTAAATATGTTTATCAATAATAAAGTCATTATATATAAATATAATAAAATTTTATTTTTTATAATAAAATGCCAATTTATCTATAATTTTTAAGTACTTCCACTTTATACTACTTCTTAATTTATTTTAATCTTCTTGAAATTTGAATTCATATTTAATTTACCACTTTCACAATTGCGCAAGTTAATCCACGTTTTTATGAATTTTCACAATTCTTACAAATTTTTATTAGGCCTGTTATGTTTTATAAGATAATATTTCAAACCATGAACTCCATTACTGCGCAAAGGTTTCAATAATCGCCAAATTATGAACAATTATAAAAAATCTTTTAGAAAATGAAATTAATTCGTTAAAAAAATTGTAAGTTCGAATTTCAAACCAAATTTCAAATTACAACAGTTTTAATTAAAATAACATTGCATAGTTTATCAGTATAAATCCATAATATTTGTAAAAACGTTTTAATTATAATTTCTTTTACTTTGTTATCATATTAAGAAGTTTAGTAACTTTGAAAATCCATAATTTTCATAAAGTCACCTAGAAATATTTATCAACTTATTTAAACCTTATTTTATTATTGAATGGAACAGGTCCATTTTCAAAAGGAAATATTTTGAATAAATCAGTACAGAGATAACAAATTAGAATTTTAGATAGCCATTTGTGTTTGTGGTTACTGCAGCCAGTCGCAAAGATTAAGAAATAACCTTATAACTTTCTTCCAGACATTTTATGAAATTGCAATGAGATAAACTTTCAAAAACTTTATTTTCTTATTTGAACACGTGGGAAGATATTTTTAAACGTTCGAATAACTGCAATAGTACGAATAAATCGTAACAGATGGCACCTCGAGCTGTTTTCGTTTTGTCGTCCAGGGTTGAGACAAAGATCAAACGTCAATCATTAATTTCCTAACACAAATTCTAACCTTATTCAGACGTGTCAAATTATAAATTATTGACAATAAAATGAATTTTTATTCATTTTTTCTACTAACCAATACTTTTATTATATGTGATAAATTAGTCTCTGCTACTCATATCAAAGGAACATTTAATACAGATGACTTTTATAAATTTTTAGTTAAATTTGGATTCCAAAAACAGATCGACATTCACAAAAGGATTCGTTTGGATACATATTTGGGAATATTACTTCTAAATCTAATTTTACTTATCCTCTAACATTTGCTGTTTTGGATAGAACCAGTTTTTTAGAATATTATGGAAATAGTACCATATTGGACAAAGACATAGCCTGTGAGAGAATGTTTCATAAGCTAAATGCTACTTCTTATGATCCGAAATGCAATAAGAATGGACAGGATTTTTTGAGAAGAATACCTTGTAAGACGAATGAATTGTGTGTTGATGAAGATACTCCTTGGAATGTTATCAAAGGAAATCAGTTCACATATGTTATAAGAGATTTGTACCAACCAAGGTATACATTGTTAATTATTTTAACAAAATATTTTTATGACATACTTTCATTTTTAACTATTACGACTGATGATATTTTGCTATTAGTTCCGAAATCTCATTTTATCTTATTTGTTTATTATGTTTTATTTATTATAATAGATAATAAGATTGTTAAGTATTCATTGTAAATACTTTTTTCAGATTCTGGTATGTATCAATGGTAGCATGCTATAGAAACTCTACCACATGCAAATGGCACCATTACAAGCCTCCGATCAAAAATACTCAAATAGAATATGATTTCTGGTTAGTAAATGGAAACCCAAATCATTCCTCCTTCAATCCACTAGTTTATCAATTTTCTTTTGATCAGCAAAACACTCTAGAATTATATTTTGTGTTTTGGTGTGTATATGTGATACTGGTTCCTTTGCAATTGTACGCTGTAAGGACACAGAAACATCCAGTCACAAAATTATTTACAGCAAGTTTGTTACTTGAATTCATTGCTATTTGTTTTGCATTGATCCACGCCTTGAGTTTTGCATTAGATGGAATTGGTCACATTGAATTGGATAGAACTGGGGATATTCTAGATATTGTTAGTCGGGTAAGCTTATATCAGAATTTAATTTTCATAGTTAATTTAGTTAATAAATGATAAAACATAAATTACTAATTGCAGACATTATTTATGTTACTACTTTTGCTGTTGGCAAAAGGTTGGGCCGTTACAAGACAAGAATTAACAACATCGAACAAATTATTGCTTATGAGCATTTGGATACCTTATTGCGGATTTCATGTAGTCTTATACGTATGGAACCGGGTAAGAAATTAGTACTAAATAATAAAATTATTTTTCGTGCATAAACTGAAAGATTTATTTAAATTTGTTCAATTACAGACCGAAGTGGATATAATATCAGAAGTTGATGAGTATCAAACATGGCCAGGATGGCTTCTTTTAGGCAGCAGGTATAAATTTTATTAAATATACCTATTTATTCATTCAATAAATATTTATATGAATATTTTTATTTCCAGATCAATTATCATGCTTTGGTTTCTTTGGGAATTACGAAATACCATGAAATACGAGCATTCTAATAAAAAGTTGGATTTTTTACTGCATTTTGGAGCATCAAGCTTAGTTTGGTTTATTTATCTGCCAGTTATTGCAATAGTTGCAACACAGGTCAATCCACTATGGAGATTTAAATTATTACTTGGTAGGAACAAATAATTTTTTTGAATAATAATTAATGAATAAGATTTGATTAATTTCATGTATATTATTGTATTTTTTTAGGGATTACATATTCTGCTGATTGCTTGGCATATTGTGTAATGACTGGTCTACTTTGGCCTACTCGATCAGGACAGTATTTACTTTTAGCTGGCCCAAATTATGCAGGTAATAATACTTTCAATAGTATTGTGCCAACATTCATTTCAATTTAACAATTTGATACATGATTCTATTCATGATTTCATTCATAACATTCTTAATTTTGAATAGGTATGGAGGAACTAGATGAGTTCAATGAAGCTCCCCACATAGTTCACGGTGAACCAATTTTACAACTTGATGGATCAACATGTGATTCTCTTGATGTTACTCCAACAACATCAACATTTAATCTAGGCCCTATGGATATGCATGCTCCAAATGTAGATACATAGGGGTCTTTGGTATGTGAACAATTTTAGATTTTCTTTTTCAAAATTTAAACCTAGTTAGGATTACAATTCGCTAAATATGATGTTTTATCATAAAAAGAGCATTTTATGTTAATTTCCAAAATAAATTAGCATGTGTAAGTTAAGGGATTATTAAATCACAAAGATACCTCTGAAATGGCAAACAAAATATAGCCATTCTCAAACTTTATTTTTTGAGGAAAGTTTGAGGAATCGCATACAATTTTATTATTAATGTAGATATTTTGTGTTGAGATATATTCATAATTAAGTTGATAGTTATGAACATTATACTGTTTGCATGTATTTGCTGAGTTGGAACTGTTTTATGTAATGAAGATATATCTTTTTCTTCATAGATTTAATCATATATTATAAGTTAATTATGATCATTTTGTAAATATTATAGTCATTCAATATTTTAGCTGTACTTAATATATTTGTATATTATATTTCAAAATATTGTAAATATTGATCAGTCATAGTATATAAGTTCATATGACTCACAAAACCTTTAAAATCTTCATTTTGATCTTTTTCATTTTTTACACACAGTTAAATTTTTGAGCTTTATCCACAAAATATGTCCAAGTCAAAATATAGATTTTAGAAAATATTTCTTTATTATGTAACTCCTTGAGATAAGTTTTAAATAATTATTTCCATATGTATCATTTTTAATTGAGGAATAATTATTTATATATATATAAATGATATGTAGGTTGTGCAAAAAATACTTTGATATGTGACTTGTTTTAATCATTGTATTATATGGTAGTAGTAAGAATGATTAGCATTTTTATGATGTGATTTAATGAAAAAAAAATTATTTTGCAACTGTTTCTTAACAATTGTAAAATGATGATTATTTCTTGAACACTATTTTAATTTTATGTTGTTATTTAGAGTATTATTTTATTTGATTGAATACTATTTTATTGGTAATTTTATATTGTTTTATAGGGGTAGATATATTATTGTACTGATAGATTTTTTATACAGATAGAAATATTATCACAGATTTTATACATAGTGAACAATATACAAATCATGTTATTACAATATATGATCACATTTAAGTTTCTCTACACTTTTATTCTATAAAATTTTATAAAAATCATTATTACCAAATCAGCACGAATAGTGTTTACAAATTTAATCATATCAAAAGTACATTAAGTGAAATAATTAAATTTAAAATAAATCAATTTATTAGACTAAGGAAAATGTGATTGACAGTTTTAATGGCTTTGTATATATATTTTCAGCAAATTTATTATGTGATTTGTATGTAGTTGCAAAATTATTTAAGTTTTATGGTATCAAATGCAAAATGATTTTATGTTATTGAAGTTGAAAATTATTTATTTATAATCTGCTCTTTGTTGTATATTTTTTATAGAAATTTATTATGTGATGTAAAAATGTATGTGCATGTGTTTATCATGTTTTTATATATTATTTAAATGAAAATAAGTTGAAGATATGAAACTTGCCATAAAATTCCATCTGGAAAACTTTTGTTGAAAAAGACTTCTTACCTTATATGAAGTTTTTATGAATCATTCAAACATACAATTTATGTATCAAATCACAATTTGTTTAATGATTAACTCAAATAATAATGTTACTTGTGCCAAATTTCATATTTAATTTAGAAATCAAGTATATATTTATTACTTTGAATTTATTTATATATTTAGATGTACATATATAGCATGATGTATTGTGAAATAATATTAATTTTAAATTAAATTTTATATAATTAAAAAATTGCAGTGAGGCCTATAAATAACTAAAAATATTTTGGCTATATGCTATTTTTATGGCTATATGTTTAAAATTATTCGTTATATGGAGAAATGTTATATATCATGTTGTATGTAAATGAAACAGTAGATGTAATATCTATACAATTAATCGAAATACATATAAGTCTGAAAAATTTAATACATGAATATATAAAATTTTACATGTTTCATTACTTTATTAACTTTATAAAGATATTAAATATATATATATATATATATATATATATATATATATATATATATATATATATGCAAGTAAAATTTTTACATTGCTATGATTGTATCTATTTGCGTTAAATTTAATTTTCAAATTTCAGCGCTAGTTTGGAACGACCTGAACTTGTTACATTTCTTTTCGCGTTTTTTTTAAATGTCATTTTACATAAAATCTATAAATAACTTTATTATTATTGCATATTAAATACAAGTATTTAAATTTAAAAACTTTTGCACATTAATTATATATTGATAATAAGAAAATAATCTAGTAAAACAAATCCTAACAAAGCCTGTCAAATGAGAATGCCCATATGTCAAATTTCAACCGATGGCGAACTGTCAATGTCATAAAATAAAAATAAAATTAATTACATTACAAGGACTAACTTTTACTTAATCGGAAAACGAAGTGTTAAAATCAGTTTCGTATTTTAAACTCATTTTTTAAGTTGAAGTTTGAATGTGATTCTTCAATTATATAATTATTTATTTTTTCTTGTGACGACAGTTCTCGTTCATGAATTAATCATCAGTCTGTGATGACCTAACCTTTGTGCTTTCAAATGATAATGATGTCTAAGTATTAGTTTATCGACGTAGGTTTAAATATAAACTGAATATTATTCATCTGAAATGATATATTTGTTGATTCAAAATGGGTTCTGTATGGAAACGACTTCAACGAGTCAATAAAAGAGCTGCTAAATTTCAGTACACTGCTTCTTACCATGAGTTAACTCTTGAAACAACTTCCAAATGGTAAGGGTTATTATTATGTATTATTTATTATTTCATAGATATTATTTATAATAGTGCTAGTAATTATTCAAAATCTATTTATAGATTTTGATTTTTATAAACTGTTAACAAACAAGTAAATTGGTTAATCAAATATTGAATCAAATTGAATTTGTGTTATTAATATCATAGATAATTACTATTTAAATAAATTGTGCAATTCAAAACTTATGTTTAAAATTAGATAAATACATAAGTTTGGTTTTACAAATGGGAATTTAAATAGTAATTTCTACTTATACAATTATTTTAATGTAATCAATTGATTTAAATTATTTTTATTGTCTTTTATAGTTTATTGATCATTATATGTATTGTTTTATACAATTACTTTGCACATTTGTATCTATGATTAAGATTGTAGAAATCATCGCAGTATTTTAAATAATATATTCTTATAAATTTTCTAATCATTTTCTTCTCGTCTAATAAGATTCTTTATTGTGTTTGCATAACATTGAATGAAGAATGATTGCTTTTATATGCAATTGATTCTCTTGTTTGATGAATAAAACACTTGTATTCTTTCAAACGCATGCATAAGCATAACAAGTGCATGTAGTATCTGTTTTTATATAAATGCTGTATCATTATTTAATTTTTGTTTGTAAATAGGTGTTTTTATTAATCATGTAAACAAATACTCAATTGTATGTCTAATATGAAATCTTATAACAAATAATTATATTTCAATTTAATAAGTATGTATTAATATTAATGATTATACAGGAGGCCTAATAAATTGAGTATAGTATGGACAAGGAGATCAAGAAGGGTGGTTTCTACCCCCTTACCATGGGAACCAGAAATGAGCAACCCATTAGTTGGCAAAGTCTCTTGGACAGTCCCGGATAACCATACTGTAAATGTTACTTTGTTTATTGATTCCCGGACACAAGAATTAGAAGATAAAGATTGGACTTTTGTTATAGAGGATGTATGATATTAAAGAGCATTAGTATCATGTTTGTAATAAAATACTACTCACAACTCTGTTTCTTTTCTCAAGGTTGCACCAAATGGGAAAAGACGAGCTGTTGCTACTCATAATCTCAACATGAAGCAATATGCTAGTGTTGATTCTAAACAACATACACTAATTTTAGATCTCAAGCCTATCACACGAAAAATAACGTCCGTCCAATTAGAATTAACATTGAATTGTGTTCTTCTACGGGAGGGAAAAGCAACGTAAATATTATTTTATATTTATATATGTATAACAAACCTAAAGAATTTATTTTAAAACTGTTATATATAATAATTAATATCTCAGAGATGAAGATATGCAGTCTATTGCAAGTTTGATGTCAGTGAACAACACTGTTGAAGCTGATGTTGCACATCTTGATGATTTTGAAGTTGATGATATAACTGACACCGCCGAACTGATGGATATTACACAACAACTTGATATGCTCACAAATAGCTTAACCGGTTCAACGAGTACTCCCATGAGTGGTTTGTTAAATGCATTATCTTTTTCTATGAATTCCACTTCATTGAAACATTTTAATTAAACTTTACTTCATAAAAATAACTATATACCAAGAAAAATTACTAATAATAATTTGAACAATTTTTGATATAATCTTCTTTTAGTGCCATCATTATCTGAAGACCGTACCCCAATTGTAGAACTTAGCAGTATGCATGATTCATATAACACACTACCATTGGATACTCCCAGTAACAAAACTGAAACCTATAATTACATAAACAGCGCTTTGGATACAAATGACAGAAATCAATCGACTTATGAGAAGAAATCAAGTATAAGTGATCTCCCAAGCAATATTTTGATAAATAAATCAAGTAGGGATCAGAAAAATCATAGACAAAATTTACAACCTTTGAAATTGATTAAAAGCTATGATTATAATAATAAGTCCAATGAAAAGGGTAAAAGTGATGTGATTTTAAAACAGATGGATGGAAACAAATTGCATGTAAATATATTTTTAAAAAATTTATTAAATCTAATTTGAAAAATTATTTTTAAATGCATGTTGTATATTTTTTTTACAGGTTACTGTTCCAGAGGACTTCAATCAAGCAACTCCTGGACAAGATTTATTAGAATGGTGTAAAGAAGTAACAAAAGATTGCCCAAATGTTCGGGTGACTAATTTGACTACAAGTTGGAGAAATGGTATAGCATTTTGTGCTATAATACATCATTTTAGACCCGATCTTATGTGAGTCAAATGTTATTGTATATATCAATTATATATATATATATATATATATATATATATATATATTACTAATGTTATTATCAATAAATCCATTAATACTTTTCATAGAGACATGTCTTCTCTCACACCACACGATGTGAAGAACAATTGTCGAGTAGCATTTGAAGCGGCTGAATCCCTGGGAATTCCAAGAGTAGTAGAACCCTCTGATATGCATTGTTTAATGGTACCAGATAAATTGGCAGTAATGACATATTTATATCAACTCAGAGCCCATTTTACTGGACACCAACTCGAAGTTCATCAAATAGGTAATGTTCTTATTTATTATGACACAGAAATAGCATAAAATAAATATATAGATAGGTAAAAATAAATTTTAATGATAAACTATTATTTGATGCATTCAGAGACTATTATAAACACTAATAATTATTTATTGCTTTAGGCCAAACAACCGATGAATCAAGTTATAAAGTAGGCAAGATTGGCAAGGATGATACTGATGATATATCAGTGCAGTTATTTAGTCAGGAAATAAGGAATTTGAGAAGAAATAGGAGTGAAGAAAAGTATGTCTCACGAATGATGTCATATTTAATTATTATCTTTTATTTGAGTTAGAAACAGTAATTGATAAATATTTTTTTACAGATCCAAGGCTGAAATTGATCAACACCAAGTGAAAGAAAAGTCTCCTACATCTGTAAAAGATGTAAAAGATCTGATCTTGGCCAGTTCTAAAAGTATTCTTGGCAAAGTATTATCACCCACTAAGGAAAAACTTTCAGCATTTGCAACAAAGATTTCAGAAAGTAATCAGTTTTCAAATAATGATAATGCTAAACAAAGCCAGGGTAATAATAAAAGTACATGTGATATGACAAATTCAGATGTAGTGATTACAAAACAATCTGAAGTACTTGATAACAAGAACAATATTGATAAAATTACAAATGTTAATTCAAATAAACCACAATTGATGACAAGAAGGGAACTTACAGATCCTTTTGGGTCCGATGAAGAAGACAATATTGACGAAAATATAGATCAATCTCACAATAATGTCACACACAAAAATAATGAAGTTGAGAAAGATGGTTCTGAATATAATCAAAAACAGGTATTATAAATAGTTTCATCATTTTTCAATATTCCAATTCTTTTTCAAAGACAATTAACTATTTATGTACCTTATCAAAGTATATTTAATAATTCTATTTATTTTGCCTTCTATAGTCAAAACAGTTTATGTCACGTCATGAAGAATTAAGGGAGAGAGCAAGAAGTTTGCTTGAAAATGTTAAACGTGAGACTTCAAAAGAGAAATCTCCTGGGACTGAAACTACGTCTAGTGTTCAGGTAAATATTTACTTAAAATATTGATAGAAATGAAATAAAAAATGATCATAAATATTTCCTTTTAATAGCAAGAAGATGATAGACAAGCTCAACTCAGGGAGCGTGCACGTAAAATTATTGCTGAAGCACGCACCAATTCTATCAGTCCTGTTTCCAATGCAAATTCACCAACTAAAATCATAACTCTGTCTTCGAGACATAGTTCACCACAAAATTTATCAAACAGAAGTTCCCCACTGAATGAAGGAAAGGAAAAAAGAAGCAATTCAGCCAGCAGAAAGTCTAGTATTGATTTGGAAAATAATAGACAGTCACCAGTGAAAAGCATTACAGGTGTATATCACAAACAAAATTTAGTAATTATTTAGTAAAATTATTAATTATAAATTTTATTAAAAATTAAAATTTAAATTTGTAATTTAGGTGTAGAAAAGAATGGTAATTCCCATTGCATTCATTTAGCAGTATTTATGACAAATCAAGTCCTGATAGAACTGAAGCAGTAAGTAACCAGGAAATATTTTTCTGACAAAAATTTATTAATTATTACCTGATCTATAAAACAAAAAATATGTATTTGTAAAGCTTGATATTTTCTGTTTCAGCCTTCCTATATTCAAATTGAGTTAGAGCTACTGGAAAGGGAGCAAAATGCAATAGATCTGGAAGCCAGTATTCTTGAGGGACGCTTGAGAAAAGCTATGGAGTCAGAAAGTGGTGAATCGGAAGATGCATTGATGTCTCAATGGTTTACTTTGGTCAATAAGAAGAATGCTTTACTTAGAAGACAAATGCAGTTAAATATTCTGTATGTATCTCTTATACTTATGTTTATAAAAACTATATTTTTATTTATTGCTATAAAATTAACACAATTTTTTGCATGCAGTGAAAAAGAAGATGATCTAGAACGCAAGTTTGCTATGCTCACAAATGAGTTGCGAGCAACAATGGCTGTTGATGATTGGCGTAAAACAGAGCAGATGAGAAGCCGGGAAGCATTATTATTGCAAGAACTTGTCAACATCGTCAATAAACGTGATGAACTTGTTCATCATTTGCATTCACAGGAGCAAGCGTAAGTAAAAAATTAATTTTCTCTTTTTATCTAATTTTAGTTCATGTATTGAAAGTTCTTTACCAAGTTTTATTTTTTCAATATCTGTGTTTTTTTTTATTACAGAATTGAAGATGATGATGAAATTGAAAGAAATTTGGAACATGTAGATATTCAGAGGAAAGAAAAGTGCGTTATTCAATGAATTTTGTGTAAGTAAAATATTGCATTGAATATTAATTTCGAACAAAACTAGAATAATTTTTGATCGCTACTTAATTTACAAATAAATAACCCCCTGTTCTGATACTCAGATTAAGCTAAGTTTTATGATGCATATTACCAGTGCTAAAATATTTAGTTATTATTAATATATTATGAGCAGAATATTACCAAAGATATATTATGTAGAATTTTTTTATAGCGAGCATGGAAATTTCCATTTAATTACAAATCTATTTATTAGGGCATATTAAAAGTAATTAATTTATATAGATTAATTTGAAAGCTTTATTTTACATTGACTATCAGTGATGATGAAAAATATTTATGTATTAGACAAATTAGTTTTTATTTATTTAATGTAAGGATCATCAAATTTTGTGTTGAAAGTACAAATTGTTTATATTCATTAACGAGAAACTTAATGTAGTTATTTATGTACAAATTCTTCTGACAAGATGCAAAATGATTTTATATGAATTTTAATAATTTTAGCAGAATATATAATTTGTTTGCTTAAAATAAACTGAAAGTAAAATACTCTTCTATTCAACTAAAAAAATAATATTCAATATGCTTTCATACAATATATTTTTTTGTACAGAAAACTTACAAATATTGTCAGTTACTTAGATCATGAATTTAATTTAATATTTTTATGTGAATGAAGTTAAAAAATCAAATTTCTGCCCATGGCCTTCAAGTTTATTGCAATAGGTTTTTGCTTAAGTGTGACAGCCTAAACTTGCTAAATATTAACGAAAATATGATTTTATGTATAATTACAATTAAGGCATAATTCACTTTCTTGAAACTAAACTTGCAAAATATATTCACATTATTTTCACTAAGATGTGAAAAAAATACACAATGTATTTGATATAAATAGGTAAAAAATAAGCTTGATAATATAAAATGGCTTTGAAATTAAGAATAGAAAGTTATAAATAAATAAATGAGTTTTATTTTATAATAATTTTAAATGCTTTGTTACACTATCTACTTTTTCTACAGTATCAGGTCCTATGCCTAAGACAGTTATTGTACCTGGAGTTACCTGTGTGTGACCAGCATCACGGACAAGCTCGGCTGTGATGTTTGAATCTTTAGCTTGCTTATAAATTTCTTCAAGACTAGCTAAATTATTAACCTTTAAAACTACTTTGGCTTGGCCTCTTTCAATCCATGATCTCAATGTTTTTCATTTGTAATTGAAGACTTTTCGTAGCATAGAATGGCAGCGTGGCAACATTGAGCAGCTATTTTACCACTACGCAAACCTATGTCTGTTCTAACAACAAACACCATTTTATATTTATAAGCAGAACTAGTTAATAATCCTTTCACTATCTTTAAAACCATTTTGAAGTAATAAAAATATTAGAGTGATATTATTTATTGGCGTATTTTTCAGTTTGTTTAGTTGTATAAGCTTGCATACATGCTTTAAAATTTTGAACAACGTCTTGGCATTTTCTCCAATCTTGTTTCTCAGCTATACATTCCTGAAAGATAGGATAAACACTATCAGTCATCACAAAATGATTTTGTTTTACTTAAATTAAATACACTTAGTACATATATCTAATTTATTTAATATATTTGATTAACAGAACCAGATTCGAATTACTTGAACTTTATAGTGCAAATCTATACATCCTGTTTTCTTTAACATTGTTTCAACTGGGTCTTCAATTTCATTTTCGGTCATCGTAATAACTAACTAATAAACTAATATTTTGCTTTATTCTGTAGTTAACATTTAAAGCAAATTTCTGCATACATATATTTAAACTTATTACTTAATACTTACAAAATATAAGGTTAGGAAATAGTTCAGCACATGGCCACAATTGCGCTAGTGTGCGAAAATAAATAAGTTCTGCACGAACTTCAATTTGCATACCGCGTGTTTGACAATAGTTTAAACGTCAAAAACACAAAAACGCATTCGAGATAAAAAAAATATAACAAAATTGACCGTTGACCCTTTTCTCACACTGTTATCAAAAATAATAGTTCTAACCACTTACATTATCTCATTCACACTGAAATACATTTATGAGTTACATTATTTACATATATCCCAGAAAATATCTAACCATGTTCAATCCATTTTCAATTTACAATGATAAAGTGAAAACCCCGGTAGTTAATATCACAAAAGCAGTGATTAATCATTATACTAAACGTATAAATGCTAGATACTTAACTGTTAAAGATATTTTGCTGAGGGGAGCAATAGTAGCTTTAGCTACTTCTATTATTGTCTGGTTAGCAATATTTATGTACATAGTGTTTTATTACACATATATGCCTTCAATTTCACATATTAGGCCAGTGCATTTACAATTCAAGTAAGTTTGACCAATATATCCATTTATTACATTATCATGTTGTGCAATTTTATGTACACAATACATATTTAGAATATACAGAATGAATCATCTTCTTAACTGGTATTATATTAATTATTTTCCGTAGATCTTGTGAAGAAGGACAAGCAGTATGTTCATTTCCATCAGCCCATGTATCATTGACTAAGAAGCAGCAACTTCTTATGATTGGACAGCCTTATAAAGTTTATCTATATATAGAAATGCCTGAATCTGATGCAAACAAAAATCTTGGTTAATATTATAATAACAATATAATTATCTGTCTTGTTCTTGTTTAACTGCTTTAATTTTCTTAGGGATGTTTATGGTCTGTGCTGAAATGAGAGATACTGCTTCTAAATTGAGAGGACACTCTTGCAGGTTTGTTTATTATGTCATTAATTTGAATCGGAAAATTCAATGTAATCAAATCAAATACTACTACAGGTCAGCTATGTTACACTATAGAAGTGATCTATTACATAGTTTGAATACTTTGGCATTAAGTCCTTTATTAATCATTGGTACTGCTGAGCAAAAACAAATAGTTCCCGTTGAATTATTTTCAAATTATGAAGAAGATCAAGTAAGTATATTATTTTATGTCTGCCTCATAATGTTTGTTTTAATTAAATAATTGTATCATATATTAAATTTCTTGTTTTTGTTCTCAGAATTATCCTGTTACTGATGTGTATGTTGAGATTCAATCCAGGAAAATCGAATTTTATTCAGCTAGTTTACACATAACTGCTCATTTTACTGGATTACGATATATAATGTTTCATTGGCCAATATTATCTGCAGCTATAGGTAAAAAGCTTTTATATTATAAGAAATATTACTTTTGCATGATACAAATAATATATATAGAAACAATTTTCTAAATTGCATGATCTTTTAAAAATTTAAAGTAATTAGCAATTAATGTATAAATCATAACAGGTATCAGTACCAACTTATTTTTCATTGCTCTGGTGTGCCTTTTGAGCTGGTATCATATGTCTGATACAACTTGGCTTGAAGAAGTAGGGCAAAAATGTATGACCAAAATAAGAAGAAGTAAAAGCAAGACCGTTGAAACTGAAGGTAAACAAGCATAAAATGTAGTAAATTATATTTAAAATTGATATTCATTTATGGAACATATATTTTAGATTCTTCAGTTGAGGATATTAGTCTATGTGAAAGTGATACCAAAGAAACAGAATTACGTCTTCGCAAAGCATTTAATGAAGAAGAATAAACATTCTTTTTTCTAGAAATATGTTGCTTGATATGTACCAAAGAGATTCTACTTATATTTTTTTACTTATGGCATTCCACTGATTTTAATCTTAATTTAATATTAATTTTATAGATTTAAATCAATAATGTTCTTTATATAAATCATTTTGTGATGAATATTTTCAAGATATTTGTGTAAAATATTTTAATACTCAATTTTTGTTGAATATGTATATAAAGTAACATGGCTTTGTGAATTATATGTAATTAAGAAGTACTGATCTAAATGTGATATAAACTCAAAGAATAATGAGAAGATAGAGAATACACAGTTTATCATGGCTATTTGAAACAACTGTTATTTTAAAAAAGTATATTTATATAATGTAATAATATATCAGATGCTACAAAGTGAAATCTTTTATTTATGAAAGAAATTATTTAAAAATACTGTGGATTATTGATTCAAAATCATTCAATGTTAAGTCAATATGATGCATATTAATTTTTAGTTAAAAAATAAATAAAATATTGGTTTCTACTTAATTTATAAATACACAAGTCAGTAAAACATAGCACTATATCAATGTCTCATATAATAAAAAATCTACTTTATTCTAAAATATATTTTTATTTATTACATATTTAATGAATAAATAATTTAAATTTTACCGCTTCAAATTTTCAAAATGGTGCCCGTTTATGTCAAATTTTCACTCGTTCTTCAGTTACACATTTGCTTCTTACTGTAGTAGTTTAAATAGTAGTTTTATTACGATAGTTATTTACAGAGTGTTTATGCTGAATTAAAAACTAAAATCATTTTTAAATAGAATTATTTAGAAACTCGTATGAGTTGCCCCAAAGCATTGTAGGAATATATTGGATCACGAATCGGTTCAACGTTCTGGTATCTGCAAGGTTAGTGTTTAGGTTAGTTTTCATTCTATATTTTGTAATAAGTTGATTTTGATTTATATTTTACTTGATCTGTGCGGAATATCCATTCGTCACTTGTTCATCTTTTGATTGGGTAGCTTCATAACTCACTTTTTGCAATTGGTTATTTGGGAGCAAGATATAGTATTGGCCGGCGGCAAAAGCGCTGGCCGTAGTTGCATCGGCACCATTTTCCTCGTCATGACTTGTTTCCTAAAACAGATTTTTAATATATATATATATATATATATATATATATATATATATATCGGATCGGTTAGAATTTGACTCCGCTTCAGGGCGGAGTTACATCCGCTTAACAACTCCACGACTCCATCTTTGAAACCGAAATACTCGACACAAATCTGTTCTATAGTGCGTTGTGTATGTATTTTAAGATTTGGCAAATCCCATTAATTATTTGAATTTTTTTTATAAACAGTTCCACCATATTTGTTGATATTATTATAAAGTCACGATTTTAAGCATTTCTATATGCTTGCATGATGAAAGTGAGAATAAATATTTGGTGTCCACTAGGCATCAGGCGACCAGAATTTTTATAAAAAAAATTATTTTTCTAAAAAATTCACAAATAAATGACGGGTTGTAAAATTTTTTGGTCGACCACATGATCGACTCAATGACTCGTAATTTTAGCAGTGTACCAAAGCAAAAACGCAAAACTTGAGAATCAAATTCAATTTAATTATTTTCTTCTGATGAGAAAATAATTGATTTTTTGGATTAACTTTATATAAAAATAATGTAGTAAACTTTGTAATAAAAGCAAAACATTTATCATAAAATATTTTCACCAAATAATAATACTTCTGCTTTCTAAATTTCTCTTCTGCTATTTCCATTTAGGAATTAATATCATATCGGGTAGTTCGATTAGCATATTATTACTTTTACACAATTATATAATTGTGTAACAGTAATAATATAATACTAAATATTTTTTGCTGCTTAGATACTATTGATATCACTGATAAATCTTGCACTCTGAAGTATTGTTATTTCATGCTATGGAAAAACCATATTAAATGTATTTAGTTTTGTGTATTTTTCGGTATGTATATTCCTGATTGTCGTAGTTAGAAATATGACCCCTTACGATTCAATAAATTATACATTTGAGCTTTTAAAACTCGAACATAAGTTCATTGTTCTGTATCTTTGAAGTAATATTTTTGTATTTTCCGGAAAATACACAATGGCATTATTTTGACTCGTATACCTAAAAGGTCGCAAAACTGCCTATGAGACGAGAAAGCGACCGCTTCGTTCCCAAAGCAAAAACGCAGTAACAGATTTAATACCAGTTTAGGAAAGTCTCCGACACAACTCCGCTCGGATTCACTCCGAGGGAGGAGTATATATATTATATATATATATATATATATATATATATATATATATATATATTTGAAGTATTTTGCATCCTAATCGAATTCAAAAAGGTAAAAAATAATTAATATACTATCTATAATAATATTTCGATTTACTTACATCTAGTTCTTGCTGGTTGCTTTTTGTTACGGATTCAGTGGCCTGATCTTCAGGTTTTTCCGTCGTTGTCGGTCTTCCATATTGTTCTGCCAGAGCTTTTCTCAAAACTTGAATTCTTTGTTTCCGGAAAACTGGAGGAGGACCAGTGCTTGGTAAACCTAGTAGAAGAATTATAATTATTACTCTTAAATAAAATAAAGATCTTTGCACTGCTTGCTTAAATCCAAGTAATTCTATTTGATGAATCGCCACTTATGTATTTTATGACTTGCTTCTAATTGATTCGAGCAATCTCTGATTGCCTTAAGTGACTTTATATATACGATATATATATATATATATATATATATATCGTATATATATAGATATATATACGATATATATATATATATATATATATATATATAAGTTTTTCATACCTTGAACAGTTAATCCGTCGTCTTGTGTAGATGATGGTTCATATCTTTCCGTGGTTGTGGCTTGAGGGCGACGTGGAGGTCCATATTTGCTTGCCGGTACACCTTGGTTTTGGTTAGATGGATAACCTTGCTTTCCTGGATATCCTTCATTTTTATTTTGATTTCCGTGATAACCTTGATTTTGGTTCAGGCTTGATGGATATTCTTGGTGCTGGTTCCGGTTTGAAGGGTATTCATGATGCTGGTTTAGATTGGATTGATATTGTCGATTCTGGTTTTGGTTTAATGGATAGTCTTGATTAGCTGGATATTCTAGCTTCTGCCGGTGATTTACTGGATAATCCTGGTCCTGATTATCTGGATATTCTAGTTTCTGGCGGTGATTCATTGGATAGGCCTGGCCACGGTTTTCATTTACTGGATAACCCTGGTTCTGGTTTTGATTTGCTGCATAACCTTGGTTTTGGTTCTGATTGGCAGGGTATCGTTGGTTCTGATTATTATTGGCTGGGTAGTTTAAATTTTGATGATTTTGATGATTTTGATTTGTTGCATAAGCTTGGTTTTGGTTCTGATTATCAGGGTATCGTTGGTTCTGATTATTATTGGCAGGGTAGTTTAAATGTTGATGATTTTGATTTGTTGCATAAGCTTGGTTTTGATTTTGGCTATTCAGACCAGCACCGGCGTATTCTAAACGCTGTTTGCTGAGTTCTACATCATATTTTACTGGAGGAGCTGCAATTTGCGCGTAGCCAGTTTGCTATATTAAAAATTATAATTTTATTACAAAAATATAATAAATCGAAGTAATAAATAAAATAAAATTGAAATCACTGATTTTATACATTCGAAAATGTTTGAAATGTTTTTCCAGTAAATAATTTTCTATCTATTTGTCAATTTATATCGAACCAAATAGTGATGTAATTCATCCAATGAACGTATCATTCATAAGCGGACAATTTGGATCTTTAACACGATTCTTTCAAATGTTTATTGGACACCGCGTGAATTGATAATGGCCCAATTGCGCCAGTCTTGATGAAATTCAATTTAAACTCTGATATATTTATTAAAATTGCCTTTAGTGTTGTAATTAAGCTCTGATTGTTTACTTTGATCATTGCTTAAATGTTTCATTGAAGCGAATTCGTATTCAATTGTAATAATATTTACTAATTCACGGTTTTTGTGAATGTCGATCAACAATTTTATCCTCGTACTTTATTTGGGACATATTTGAAACTGGAAAGTCTTGCCTTATTCAATTTCCTCTCTTGTTTTTTTATAAGCAATTTTAATGATATTTATTTTATTATATTCTTTATTTATAGAAATATTTATGTAAACAATATTTTAAGAATTTATAAGAAGTAGACCAAAGTAAATTTACTTATATATCTTATAAATATATATAAGGTCAGTTAGTTGAAATTTCACTTAATTTGTTGACTTTTATTTCGAATTTGTAAATTAAAATTTTTATTCGAGAGACAAGATTTTATTATTGACTAGCTGACCCGGCAAACGTTGTTTTGCTAAGTAAGGTATATTCTAAACAATTTCTAGAGAATCAATAATATTAATAATTTAAGTCTTTAAGCATGTGTTGTTTGAATGCTATGTACAATGAGGTATTATAAAAACAATAAACCCTATTAGTTTGTCTATGTTTTGTCAATACAATCAAACTGAAAGTTTTATACACTTTCTATAGAAAACATGGTATAATCCAATCCAAGTATTTTTTGGTCTTTTGTCTTATTGATTACGTTTCAAGTTTTTCAGATTCTTTTTGGATTGTGGATTTTATGTATAATTGTAAATAATACTACTGAGCTTATAAAAAAATTTCAAATTTCTGCGAAGAGAGATAGAAACTGAATTAAGTATTTCTTCTTTGACCTGCTTTTTGAAAAGTTTCAAGTAACATTCGATGAATTAAAGTAAATTTAATAAAAAGTATATATGTAGAGTAAGTTAGTTTCTACGCGATTTTGAAATATTATCTCACCTTTCCGACCATCTCTGGATTGGTACGAATTTTTTAAGACTAAGACTGGCCAAATCGGTTTAGCCGTTTTCGAGTTTTACCGAATCATTTGATCTAGAGCTCCATTTTTATATATAAGAAGATTATGGCTTGCTTATAAATAAATAAATAAATTTTCGCACTTTTATTCTCGGCTACATTTGAAACATGGAACTTAATTTATTTTAATATTTAATATAAAGAATTGATTTCATTTAGAGATAAAAAAATTTAATTCATCAATTAACTTCAATTAAATTAATTATTTTCAACAATCTTTAAGAAGTTGACAAAAAATTCATTAGCTCATATGTTTTTTCATATAAAATTATAATTTTTTATTTGTGTAGGAATCGAAAGTGTTGCAAGCCTTATAATCCTTATCACATAAAATAGTAAAATAGTTAGTAGTATAAATAAGTTGGTAAAATAAGAATCATCCTATATTTACCCTTTGAGGTGGTGCAGCAGGATTAAAAGCAGGCCCGCTGGGTTTCCAGCCTGATGGTGGGTAAGGGCCACTTGGCTGTTGGGATAAGCATCCTTCGAAAATTGCCAATAGGCCTAAAGTTATGGCAAACACCTAGATAGAAACATCAGAAATAAAAGAAATATCGAAATGCATCGATCTAACTGACACTGACTTATTCATAAATAAGTATTTCAATACAATTTTATTCAATTCAATTTTTGAATAAAAAAATTCAAGAAGATTGATTTTTCAGAATTACACCAAATTTATTTCTACTCACCTTCATGTTATCCTAAAAGTTTTTCCAAGCACCAAATACCAATCGAGTTGATCTTGAGACAATGCTGCCTGTCTGCATGCAGATCTTCGTTTATATACCAAAAGCTCCTGGATCACAGAATGCATATTGAAAGATCCCACCATAATTGTTTTCGGTAGTGTTTGATATAATGCATATGATATAATAATATGGGTGTAACACGGTGTATGATTTGAATTTTGTCCAATGCGAATGAATTTCGCAATATTTACTGTCTGCACA